ATGACAATCACATAGTCGCTTTGGTAAATGTGCGAAATATATACTATAGTCTATTTAAGTGCCACTGTCCGGTATACATTTGCCCGGTATGCCCTACATCAATGTTTTTTTAAGGTCAAGTGCTATTGTCCAGTACGCTTTTAACCAATACTCCTAACACTGATGTTTCTCCTAATCTATCCTGAGCAGATGTCAAAATATGGAATAAGTATAATAATATCAACGAATAAATTAAGATGAAATCGGATGTAAAAAATATTTCGGGTATTCACCAAAGCGACTATGTGATTGTTGACATTCACCGGTGAATTCTCTTGTTTTCGGTTATTCACGGTGATTTACTACTTTTTTTCACTCGCATTTTACATTAAGAAATTCATATTAACAAGCGAAATAAAAATAATTTATAGATAATTGATTGGATATAAATATTATTATAATTTCTGGTTAAAAATATCATAATTCTCGGAACCCCTGCTATCCTTCCTTGGAACCCTAGGGTTCAGAGGAACACCGTTTTGGTATCACGGTCCTAAACACTGTTTCAGACAAAGAATTGTCTAGAGAAGAAATTAATCAAACGCTTTTTCTCAAACAATTACCAAAAATCTGTCTCACAAATTTTTTGCCGAAATTCTCAGTGTGAGAAGTGCTTTTAAAAGTAAAATAAAAACATTCAGGCGTTAATTCGAGACCGAACGTTATAATGCTTGTTAATATAGCATTGGTGCTGTAACGGGAGTCGATATAACGAACGTAGATTGTTTAAGAGTCAACGTAACATCCATATTTTTACCTAAGGTATGAGAGAAATGTAAAAACGTTGATTTTCAATAGCTTTAATACATATATTGTTGGGAGTGGGGATATCGTATGACTAAGTGGGACTTACCACTTGTTAGCCATTTTGTTTTTGGACACAAATCTGAACGCAACTTAATACATAATAAAGATTTTATTCGAAGACGATAAACGAAATATAAAAGAAAGTATAGGTAATAATATTTGTGAGTTTTAACTTTTATCGTTCTGCCATTTATAATATACAATAAAAAAGAATAAAAAGAACACAAAATCAATATTTTAATATTTTTGTTATTCATTTTGCTTTGAAAAAACAATTAGTTTAAAGAATAGGTAAAAGATTTTATTACACCCTCAGCAAAAGTATTTTCCCACTTTTTATGCAATTTTTTTTCTTCTTCATTTTAGCTGAATTTTCGGACAAAAAACCGTCTAAGATATGCTTAAACTGCGTTGTTTGAGATAGATTTCTCGGTCATGGTTGGGGGGAGGTAGGTAGGGAGGGGGGAGTGCATTTGCAATAATTTAAACATCATATTTTATTTTTATGATTTTTGTAATTTGTTTTAGTTTCATCTTTCGTTTTTCTTTTTCTTTTAAAACTTTTATTTTTATTTACTATTCTTTTAACCACGCGCCTAATTGAATTGGCGTAGATTGTTTATAATTTTTTGCTAACATTCACTGTTTTTCGCACGAAGGAAAGATATTAATAATTATAATAGATTTCTAAAAGAGCCGCGGTGCCTCAGGGTATAGAGCGCTTACCTTCCAATTAGGTGAACTGGGTTCGAATCCCAGCGAAGGCTGATCGATTTGAATTCAACACTCGGCTCGCACTGACCCCAATGCTAACGTAAAATATCCTCAGTGGTAGACAGATTATGGGTTAGAGTGGGAGGCTTTCGTGGTTCTCCTCTCTACGTAACGCAAATGCAGGTTAGTTCCACCCAAAAAAAAACCTCCACGAAGGCAAATTTCTCGAAATATTTGATCAAGGAGTTCACTTGTCTTCTGGATTGGTTTCAAAATTATAAGGCTACGGAGTTGGCAGTTGTAAACCCAAAAAATCGGGTCGACTGTTCAACGGCGGTTACAATTTAGTTTAATTATCTTTGAAGATTATTTTTACAATATATATTCAAAAATAAATATTAAAAAAAAACCGTATAATATTTGATACTAAATTGAAAAAATCCAAAGAAAGCAGTCCAAAAATGTTCCATATGTTACGAAAATGTAATTTATATATTCAAGGTAATTCCAAAGAAACATTTTTGAGAATATAGCAGTTCCCAATTGTATTTCGGTTATGGAACTCTAAATCATCAGCCTTCTTTCGGCGGCTCCCCGACTTTACAAATAAAGTATATAAAGGCAATTTTGAACTGGTATCCTTATCCTTTCTTTACAAATAAAGTATATAAAGGCAATTTTGAACGTATTAATCTTTGAAAAGTATATTGAGAATATTTGTTAAGAGGAGTGAAATTTTTTCATTAGGAGTAATCGTTAACTAATTTACTGTTTATTATGCATTTGTATCTAGGGTAGTTATGGAATTTTTTTCCCATTTTTGTATTAACGCATATGTTAAAAATGAATAAAAATTATGGTTTTCTTTAAAATAAAAACTAAAAACAATTACTATAAGCATTGAAATTGGTTTTTAGGATAACATTTCTTTATTAAGGAATTACCTTATTTTGATTTGAAAAGCGTGAATACTAATGCAATATTTTATAAATGCAAATCCTTTTCAAAATTTATTCAACATATTGCTAATAAAATTTTTTATTATTTATTTTAAAAAAATTGCTATTTCTCTTTCATTGGCTTTTTGATTAAATAATGTCAGAATAAATATTTAACAAATAATTGATCATACAGTAAACCCCAAAAAATCAAAGGTTTTAAGAGTTATTGGTAGTTAAAAAAGAAAAAAAAATTTACTTTTGGAACTCCTTTTGACCCTTGGATGGAACCCCTATCGGGAACCCCTATTCTATTGTTCTTTATGCTCATACTACATTTAGTTTAAGTAATTCATGATTCTATACAATATTATTTTTTTAATTTGAATATTAAAATTTAAATTTTATATCAATCAAAACTTTTTGTTCCGTAGGATTTAATAAATTACGGACGAAAAAAGAATTGACTTTTGGAACCCTTTTGACCCTTAGATGGAACCCCAATTAGGAACCCCTACTCTAGTGCCCTTTGTGTTCGTACTACATTTAATTTAAGTAATGCATCACTTTTATAAAAAATTTTTTTCAATTTAAATGATAAAAATTTAAATTTATATCAATTAAAACTTTTTGTTTCGTAAGATTTAATTAATTATGGAAGAAAAAAAGAATTAACTTTTGAAATTTTTTTGATCCTTCGGTGGAACCCCAATTGGGAACCCCTACTCTAGTGCCCTTTGCGTTCACACTACATTTAATTTAAGTAATGCATGATTTTTATAAAAATTTTTTTTCAATTTAAATGATAAATATTTAAATTTATATCAATCAAAACTTTTTGTTTCGTAAGATTTAATCAATTATGGAAGAAAAAAGAATTAACTTTTGAAACTTTTTTGATCCTTCGGTGGAACCCCAATTGGGAACCCCTACTCTAGTGCCCTTTGTGTTCATACTACATTTAATTTAAGTAATGCATGATTTATATAAAAAAAATTTTTTTCAATTTAAATGATAAAAATTTAAATTTATATCAATCAAAACTTTTTGTTTCGTAAGATTTAATCAATTATGGAAGAAAAAAGAATTAACTTTTGAAATCTTTTTGACCCTTCGGTGGAACCCCTACTCAAGTGCCCTTTGTGTTCATTCTGCATTTAAAATTTAAGTAACGCATGATTTTAATAAAAAATTTTTAAAATTTAAATGTTAAAAATTTAAATTTATAACAATCAAAACTTTTTGTTTCGTAAGATTTAATCAATTATGGAAGAAAAAAGAATTAACTTTTGGAACCCCTACTTCAGTGCTCATACTACATTTAACTTAAGTAATGCATGATCAATTAATTAAGCTATTTTTAGAAATTTTCGGTGCGCACCTGCACATTTTTTTGTACGGAAATATAAAAACTTTTTAACACAATTTTTGAAACATTTTAGCGAACATTCTTCTGGGTTGCACCCTCCTGTGAAAATTTTTACTGTCGCCCGTATTCACGGTATTTTTCTTAAATAAAAATTATATTTAAAATATATTTGTGTCGCTTTGAAATTATAATTATTATTAGTAATTAAAATTGAAAAATAACATGCTGTAATTTCAAATGACGTCCCTTTTCTCATAAAAGTATGCAGAATTTTTCTATTTCACTTAATCATTAAATTATTCGTAATTAAAATTGTCAAAATTTATCATTTATAAATTTATAGAATTTTTTAAAAGAAATTCTTAAAAGGTTTAGCAAATGTTTTTTTTTTTTTTTTTTTTTTTTTTTTTTTTTTTNAAATAATTTCTAGTTTGTATAGAATTTTTTGAAAGAAATTCTTAAAAGGTTTAGCAAATGATTTTTTTTTTATATAAAAAAGATAAAAATTGTTTGTTATTTTATAATAATATATGGCTATATAATAATATATTATATATATATTTATAAAATAATTAATCTTATTTAAAAAATTAGAATAAGATTATAAATAATTTCTAGTTTGTATATAAATACTTTTTCACTGACGCGATCGCGAAACGAGGAAAGAGTTGTGATTCAACTAAAACTAGTTACAAACTATCAATAGATGCTTAAGTTGACTTTTAAATTGCTATTTTTTGGGTGAAGGGAGGGCTACTAGTATATGTAGTAGATTAATTTGAATTTCCGGTCCTACAAACTAGTTCTAAGCTATGCATTAATAAATCCCTTAAGTAGCCCGCGGGTCAAAATTTGTTAGTAAGATGACCTTGGACTAGATGGCGCTGCTGCGAATATGCTTAAAGATGGCAGCTTCCTTTATTGTGATGGAGTAAATTATGGGTTGACATATTCTGAATCAGAACGGAGCTGTGTATAATGATTATGGCAAGTCGGTCTTCCCGGTGGAAAGTAATTAACAGGCCTAAAACTGTGGCCCCGGTGAAAGCATGGATGGAAAAAACAAAACCGAAAACACAAAAAATTTAGGTAAGTAATTTTAATTTTAAAAAATTAACTTAAATCAAGGTCATCATGCTTTGAATTGAATATATGTACGTTTGGTTGAAGAAGTACACTGCGTCGCCGACATTTTGAATATCGGCATATGCAATTATCATATTTGAACAAAGCATCAGAATATTTTTTTTAATGATTTCACTTTTAAATAAATATTTTTAATCTGTTTGGACTCCATTTTGTTTTATTTTTAATATTGTGTTATTCACTGATTTCTTGCAAACGATCTCGGTTTTCGTGAATATGTTTACATTATGTTTTTGTTTTGTGAATAATCAGTTAACATCATTCAAAAAACCTACAGTTTTACTTGTGATGATTCTAAATGGATATGCATTTTTTAAGATATGCAATGGATATGTTTTTAAAATACCTCCGTTGTAAATTTACAGCGTGGCTAATGCATATTGGAATTAAGATAGATCATGGAAGCACGACTAATTTATTCATATCTGTATGTATGCATAACCAATGCGTTTGATGACATGCATTCTATTTTTTTTCTTTAGAAAAATGACTAAACATTAATAGAATGTAATTAATTTGAAAAATATTTTTTATTATGCAGCATTTTTTTTCTGAAGTTGCTGTTTGTAAATATGATAATTTTATACGCGGCTTTTTTTGTATATGTATACAAAGTTAATTGTTTGTTTTTAGATCAGCAATTTCTTGAAAACTTCTTCAATATGTTTAAAAGTAGTTTGATTTTTGTTTACCTTGTATTATTAATAATCTTAAGCTTTAATTTTTTGAAACGATCTATTGTTTTTAGTTGTAGCTTAAAGTAAAAGAAAATTACAAAACGGTGTATTTTGTTTGTACTATTAATTAGTATTGTGTAGATTTCTTACTAATTAAATGCTTTTAATTATTACTTATGTCTTTATATATTGCCTTTTAAGGGATGAATTAAGCACAAAATAAGCTGTAGTCATAAAAATCTGTAAAATTTATCAACTTTAAACCAAATTTATTTGATTGCATGTTTTATGATATTTGAAATATTCTGCAGTTATTTTCTAACTATGATAAATTGATTTGATTCAACTTAGTGATGTGATTTATGGGTGCAATCTTAAGGTAAATGTTTTACTTTTTAAAAACACTAAATTACTTTCCAAACTTTATTTGGTATAAGTATTATTTACATATTAGAATAGTATTGGTTTCTAAATTGTTAGTGTATTTATTAGCAGTGTTGAAGCAAGCTTTTATGAGTATATATAATACCTATACTTTATTTTCAGCTTATCTTGTATTTAAACGTGTCCGACACTCATAGTATCTTTTTCGTTTATTATAAATTGGCTAATATTCTCATGTGTAAACTCCTTTTAATAACCTTATCTTATATCCTTTGCTATCATAACTTTGAGTGATAAGAGTAACTACAACTTGTTTATGATAGAGCAAGAGCTAATTTCCATTGACTGGGTACAGAGATTTGTTTAAATTTACATGTTGCTTTTAAGATGCTTTTGTATCTTTTATTATTTTTTTGAAAATGTAATATTTTTGGTGTTTTTTTAAACTTAAATTTTTTGCTATATTTTTTTAATTATTTGTTTCGAAAATTGATAGAATGTCACTGAAAATTGGGACTTCACCAATGTTTTCTATCACGTTTAGTTCTGTAAGTAGGAAATTAATATTAAGCTGTTATAAAAATGTATAAATTCGATGATAAATATTAAATTTAAAATGAAATATTTATTTGAATAATTAAACTTCTCATTGATAAAGCTGCAGGAAAACGTTAAAAGTTATATACTTAATAGAATAACAGAGTAGATAAATTCGTGGGAATTTTCTTCATAATATTAAAAGTTATTACCTTAAGTTGTTTAGAATGTGTTTAACCCAGAAAATGAGAGCCGCACCTCAAAATTGTGAACGTTATTACATTATGATCTGGAATTGCATTTCACAACTCTAAAGTACTGGTGATTTTTTTAAAAATATATAATGTAAAACTGTTAAACGTCACTTCCGCAGCATATGTGGGTAGGTCTTATGTCAAAATTGAGTGTTATATCTAAGGAAATGAGAAGAATGTTATATATTGCTTATGAACAAAATAGTTTTTGTTAAACTTGGTTGATAGAATCTGAGATAAAAAGATATAATAATTATAATTAGTTCATATCATAAATTTATTAGAATAAGAATGTATGCTGTTTCATGTATGTTATATTAGTTTGCATTAAAAATTTTAGATTTATCGAGGCTGTATTCGTAATCTTATTGAACGAAAAAAGAAAAAAAAACTAATGATTTTTTTTAAATAAACAAATTTATTTAAACCAATAAATTTTTTAAATGGATCCAAATTATTTAATTTATGAAAGTCCTCTAAAATGAGTATACCAATAAAAGAACAGTGTGATTTTTTTTCTTAAAATTTTGAGTAACTCACTGTTCTGGCAAAAAAGAAAAAATTATAAAATATTTATTGTCAGAATTTTTCACGTGGTTGCTAAGCAACAGAAACTTTAAAATACCTTTGAATCTTACATTGTCAGTATAGACTCTTGCCAACACTGCAAACTTTTGCCTGAAGCTAAGCTACTTTACCAGTATTGTTATTTATAAATTTTATTCATATGCTTTTCCAACTAATTATTTTTTATTTTAAATTTCTTATTTTCATTGATTCATTTTGATGTCATAATTTTTGTTCTGAGAAATGAAGATTTATAACAGATTATAACATTAATAAACTATTATTTGCATTTGATTTTATACAATTTTAACTCTTCTCTCTATATCTAGGTTTAGAAATGGTTTGCAACTAAAGACTTAATGCCTAACAGAGTTGATAATATATCAACCAAAATGGCTAGTGCTTTGTTCACTATTGAACAAATCGAGTTGATTCGAAGGTTGCGGAATAGTGGCATAACGAAGGAACAAGTGTCAATGGCTTTCGACCAAATGGACCGCCTCGATGTTGAGCTAGGAAAGCCATCAACTTCCTCCATCCGCCCCAATTTACCTCATTACCCTACTATGTGCTCATCTTTACAAGCCCTCGATAGAATGGAGAGAGACCATGATTCGAGCCCAGTCTCTAACCATGGCCAAACTAATGGGGTGACTAAGAATAGTGAAAGTCTCCCCTTTTACAAACAAGGGGAGACACAATCGTACTCTAGACCCCAAAGTAGTAGTAACTCTTCGACAGACGGGGCCACTGATGGTGGTAGCAGTACCCAGAATGGGGATGCTTCACCATCAGCCATTGCCAATAATTCATCAGTAGCTTCACCTACCTCCCGATTGTCAAATGAAGTGACAATAATACCTCTTTCCTCATCGGCTTCATCAGTTCCTGTGTCCTACTCATCGGCCGATGGTGTTACAGTACAAAGCCACAATTTTAACCGTTCGGCCGATGGAGCTTCATCAAACTGCGTCCCTATCCAGTGTTTAGTCAATCCTCTCGATTTATTACAAGACGAGTGCTATGAATTGGATGAGCTTAAAAAGTAAGTTTTAGAAAAAAAATTAGCCTTCTTTGTTATTTTGTTTTAATTTTCTGTTATTTAAAAAAATTACTTTGAGATTTATTTCTGATTCAAATATGAGGTTTGGCAACATCACTTGCAGATATAATTCCGTGTCACACTTACTTGGCATTGCGTTGTTGTCCAAGACAATTTTTTAAAAATGTATATGCCTGGGTTGAATTATATATGTAATTTACAAACTACAACTCTACTGCCTCTTTCAGGGGCTAGCATTTATATGTATGGCACATGCTTTCCTGCATGCCTATATTATGTGATGCTTGTTCCAGCTACAGACTGTGTTAGTAAATTTTTGTTGTTTCGATGTATAAGGAGTTTATGTGGTGATGTATTGTAAGTTCTCGATGTATGTTGCTCCTAACTTGGTTCATCGAAGTCTGATTATGCCCACTGCAGTGCCTTGACATCAAAATGTCACTACCCAGCATTTGTATTTGTTATAAATTTAAAAAAATAGAGATAACAATAATAATGATTTTGTGGAATACCGAATATTCGTCCAAAAATAATCCACCGGATACCAAATATTCAGTGGTAAAATAGTGCCATTTTTTTAATAAAAAAAAATCATTAATAAATATGTTTTATCTATTAATAAGTTTAGTCATTATTGGAAAATAGTTGAAACTTAGCTATATTAGGGTAAAGAAGAGAAAATTTAAACCGATAACTAGATATTAAGGTAATATGAAATATTTAAGATTAACAAACCGCTATTAAAAAAAAGCTGCAAAGTTGAAAAAAGAGAAATAGAAAAAAGATATGCTCTTAATTCTTAGAACAAAACTTAAATGTTAAAAGTTTTATTCCGGAAAAAAACTATCCATAAAACATTAAACGAGGTAATGTCTATCCGATATGCCTTTAAAAATGCAGCTGTATCTTAAAAATGCCCATAGAAAACAAAAGTTTATTTATATACAAAAGCAAAACAGAAAAAATGAAAATCGATCTTCATTTTCGATTGAAAATTTTAATTTTAAAGCTTAGCATTTCATTTTTCCAATTACCGTATTTTCAAGAAAAAGTGAAGATTAAACTATAATAGAAGTCATTTTGATTGCGGTATCATAATAAAAATGTCTATAAAAGCATAAGCTATTTTGAAGAAAAGAAAAGATAGATAAAAACTGGAATCATTCTTATTTTTTAAAAGAATGCTAAAAATCTCAATTTTATTTTTTTATACTGCCATATTTTTTTTTTAAAAAAAAGTAACTGTAAAAGAATGACATTCATTAGAAGTAAGAGTTCTATTTAAAAAATTTTGTCATAATAGAAGCATTTTTTAAAAAGAAAAGTTAATAAAAGAAAAAAAAAGGAGAAACAGAAAAAGAAAATTATTCTTAGTTCTAGAATATAACCTCAAAATTGAGAATCACAGTCTTCTATATTAATAGTCTATATCAGGGGTCGCCAAACTTTTTGATCATCGACCCCTATATAATTTTTCGAAATCTCCATCGACCCCCCACAAAAGTAATTTTCTGTTAATTAAAATAGAACTCTATTAGATACTGTGTTTGTACATTTATTTTATGATTTTAAGCATTTATTAAAGTAATAGTACATTGTGTAACAATAGTTTTATGAAAAATATATTAATATTGAAATTTAAATACCTTATTATTAAATAATAAGTAATTATGCATAAGTAGATATAATAAGTAAAGTAACTAAAGATTTACTGCTTCTTGATCAATGAGATGGGTGTGCCTGGTGTTTTTTTACAAGGTTCGCTATATTGGGTTCAAAATTGGTAAATTTTAATTTTCGTCAAAATTGGTCAATTTTGTAATTTTTGTAAAAAAATACAAAGTGTGCTATAGTTTTGTCGCGGGCTGTACTAATCCATATTATTAATGCTTACCTTCGTTTTTGGGCATTGATAATTAGAATTGATATCTAAGCCAAACGAATGATTTTATCGAAACAATAATTAATCCAAAACTATAAAAGTTTTAATAATGACACTGCAAATATTCAACGCAGTTTGCAAAGATAGCTGAAACTGCGTATGATATATTTGCATTTGTAACGTCAATGCTCGTCACACGTGACATTTGGACAAACGCACATATGCATGACTTATAAACTGCGCTGTGTTCGTGTCGCTGCGCGGTGGTATGTAAATACTTGTTTCACCCCAATAAATATACGTTTATTAATTTATGTTTTATAAAATAACTGATATTGAGTCAATTATAAAAAAAATTCACAAATTTTACATTCTTAATTTGGTATGTGTGATTTGCGTATTGAGAACTGTTTTTTCTTTCGACCCACAATCGACCCTTCCGATTCGGATCGACCCTTCCGATTCGGATCGACCCTCATTCGCCCCCCTGTCTCAAATCGACCCCCGCTTTTGATAAATAGACCCCTGGGGTCTATATAGTCCACTTTGGCGACCTCTGGTCTATATTATCTGTCTTACTTTACAACAAAAAAGTGACGATAAGAGATGAAACTCTTTTAGAAACATTGCGTTAAAATGCTTCACTACAGTTATAAAAACAGAAGAACCAGCAAAAATGAAAGAAACTAAGAAAAACATCACAGAAGGGGGCCAACTCGAAAGGTATAACTCATAGCCACTCCTGGGCAAGCATCTGCATTTTGTATTTTTTTTATAAATTGCAAGTTTAAAATATCTATTTGGCCCCTTGTATTATTTTGACCATCTTATGTCTTTACATGTATATATTGCAGGGTTGGGTTTTTGCCGTCAAAAACTGTTTTTTTACATGACCGTGGTAAAAACCGTGTTTTTACCGGTAAAAACCGTCAAACACTTACTGTTTTCTTTCATTTATGGCATATAGCGGACAATATATTATTTTCACTTAATTGCCTTTATAAATGAATGTTGTAAATGATTGCTATTGATTTTGCTACTATATACACCTATTCCTCTAGAAGGATATACATTCATACATAAATATTGTAACATACTTATTAAAAATAGTGATACTTAACTTTTATCATTATAGCTTGATTTGCAAAGGATTCAAAATTTTGCACTTCTTAATAGTTAGAAATAAACAAACAAACAAAAAAACTTGGAACTATTAATAAATTAGTAATGTAATATGCCAAACAAAATGATGCTTGGAAATGTTGAAAATTTTGTTTAGTATTCTAATATTTTACTTCAAATAGTATGATTTGATATAATCATGTTGGGAAAATGCAAAAATCTGTTCTTAAATATCTTTTAACAATTTTTTTTCTAATTTTATTGCCCAAAAATGAATTAATTTTAAATTATAAGCAGTTAAACTCAAATTAAAATACAGTTTTATCAAAACTATGGGTTTTTGACATGACGGTAAAAACCATGGTATAAACCGGTAAAAACCGTCATGTGTCAAAAACTTGCCAACCCTGATATATTGTATTTTTTTTTACTGCATTTGTATTTCTTAAAAATGTTCTAAATTTCATGTAAAGTATCAGTGAAATTTGGTCCTTTTTTCTTGTGTCAAACTTGTAACCCTACTAATGGTTGGTAGTATCTGTAAGAGATCTTTATTGCGTGATTGTATTTACATTTTAACTTCTTAGGGAGAGCATGAGACCAGATACTTTACAATGTGTTGCATGGTTATGTATTTAAAGGAGATATTTCATATTATTAAAAGTACTAAGGCCTAAATGTTTTTCTTTTTCCAAAAAGAGTTGAATGAATTAAAAATATATCACAAATATGTAATGAGCTGAAATTATTTAAAATAAAGTTTTTATTAGGTCTTTTTTTTTAAAAGTTAGATCATTATAAAATGTACTGCATCAAAACTCTGATGTCAGGATATTTTTTTCAGCTTGTAAATCTAGTTTAAATTTGAAACAAGATGTGTAAAAGTGTGTGTCATATCTCATTTAAAAAAATCTTATTTTAAGATAAACCATGTGAAGATCTGATGCAATAATTGTTGAAAAAGCAATAAAAAAAACCATGCGAATTAATGATAAAATTGTCTCAAATACCACATTAAAAAATAATTACTGAAGTACATGGTGAATTTCCACTTTGTAACATGTTTTGTGTTAACAATATTAGGATTTTACAAATAGTGCAATGTCATTGCATTAAAACAATAAAAAAAACATGTACTGAATCATGCATGCTATATTTTGGATTGTAACTCGGGGGTCTGTCCATACCAAATTTACTACCGTTTAGCAGTACCTTCACAAATTCAACTTTAGGAAAAACGGTAGTTTCACTAAGTAGGAAACTATAAATCCATATTTGTGTTGATTTTTTAAAATAATTTTTAATTTTTCACGAATCATGTCTAAATTTTCACAAAGTAGGTAGGTACCTCTCAGAAAAACTAAGACAGACCCCTGTAACTATTTGGTAACTTTACTGTTTGACCATTGACTTCTACTATAAGTTTCTAAGGCATCTGTTAAAGTTGAATTTGAAATATAATTTTATCTTGAAAGTAAAAAAAGTTTCCCATAATGTGAAAAATTGTAATAAAGTTTTTAAAAACTAAAAAAGAAAAATTACCTTTTGAAATAAAAAAATATTTTTATGGATTTATTTAACTAAATGTTAACAAATTTTAAAGAAGCATATATGCCATTATGATATGTTTTTATTCATTTTAATTATTTTATTTATGTTTCTAAATCTTTTAATATTTTCACCTAAAATTTTACTACATTCATCATACAATCACCTAGATTTTATTATTAAAACTGTAAGCATAACAATTATTATTAAATATAGTTACATTCTAATTGGGTTTAATGTTTTCTTCTAGGAAAGGTGAAATGGCTATACTATCTGAAATAAGAAATTTTGTCATGAGGTATAATATTAAGCAAACAATGATTGCCGAAATGACAAAAATGAGTCAAGCCTATGTTAGTCGCTTTTTCCGTGGAGATATACAAGACATGTCTGACCGGACCAAGAATGCCTTCTACATGTGGTATCTCACGTGTAAAAATAACCCATGGAAGCTTAGTAAGTGCATATTTTCTTTACAAAATATGTAGTCCTAATTTTAGTTCATTGATTTTTACTTTGTAATAACATCAATAACAACTTTAAAGTTAATATGGGGTGAGTTGGTCCACTTTTCAGTTTGTATTTTTTTATCTCACTAAGAATTAACCATAACCACCCTGTGGCAGAATTTTTTCGAGCTATGTGCGACAAAACTCTCTATCACTAATATCTTTCTGCAAGATACTTTTAATAATAACAAACATATATGTTACTCATTTAAAATAACAAAAGCACTGTGTTTACAAATAAAAAGCCATAATATATATTTTTAATTGAACATGTAAAGTTTTTTTATTCTAATATTATAGGTGATATTCTTGCATTTAGTTGGGGGGTGGGAACTCACAAATTATTTCCGTCGCATTTTGTAAATACTCATGGCAATAAAAAAAATATAATGAAATGTGTGTGTAGTAGTAATTGCTGAAAGAAAGATCGACGACGAAATCACGCTAATCGGACTCTTAAAATGCGTATTTTGTTTCGAGGTTAGGTTTTTTTAAAATTTTTATTTCCAATGAGCTGCACAATCGGTCTTGCCGATGAGCAGACCTAGTGCGTTCTCCAGAGGTGGTATCCACTCTTTCAGGACCACCACAATGGGTGAGATACCGGTCATGATAATTTGGACGTCTAGTTTCTGCCACACTAGATGGCAGCACCGAGACTCTATTTGGATGCTAAAGTGCACTAGGAATATTGGTCGAGATTAGGTTGTTGTAATGTATAATATCGTATAAAAAGTATCGGACTCAAAAACTTTGGAGAAATTAACCGCAACGACTGCCAAAAAATTCAATAGAATTATTGCCTAAGTAGATACTCAAATGCAAGATTCGAATTTCCCATATACTTCGAAATATATTGTGATATTTAAAATCCAAGAGAAAATTAATATCAATAACTGCTGAAAATAGAATCGAAACATTACATCGATTTACTGTCGGCTTAAATTGAGCGCGTCCAAAAGTGATTATCTAAATGCATGATATAAATATTCCATGTAAATTTCTGTAGAAAAGTAATTTTTTCGTGCTTTTTAAAAGAAAATGTTTCTGCAAGAACTCAGTAACGTTCTGCGACAATGTCGCCTTGTTGCTGCGATTCTGCTACGGGACATAACCATATAGTTTGATTTCTTTATCAAGATAAATCACTTACTTTCCTCCATTCGTGATTTTTTTTAAAGAATGCTCAGTTAATAATTTTTTTCTAAAAATAAACCCCTGACGATGTTAGATATAAAAAATATTTTATCAGGATTGTGTATAAATTTAATTCATATTAAGACATTAAAAAACATATACTATCTTAAAAAAAACCAATTACGGCTATAAAAATTTTGTTTACGAAGGGCAAGGGGCCTCTGCGAAACTTCGAATTATCCAAACAATGTTATTTTTATGTCTTAAAATAATTACTCGTAACAGAAATTGCGAAGCAAAGATTGTTTATTAATTTTAAATTAAAACGTTACAATTTTTTAAAATATTTAGCTATATCAGATTGCTTTAAAGAGCTTGCTTGATTTTTTCTAACAAAATCTTCAAGAATATTTATAGCTCTAAACACAGCTTCACTTACGTCAGATTGTCCTTCTGCATAGCGTCGATATTCTGATAAATGAACGACTGCCTCACTTGAAGTTGGAATTGGCCTCTGTTCTTCTACCTCATCTTCAATATCTTCTTCGTCTTCTGTTGTAATATTCTGATTGTTTAGAACTTCAGATAGAATATCTTTATCCGATAATTCTCCACAAATGTCTATATTTTCATCCATACTGACGTAATCATCGAACGGAATGTTGTCTTCCCATGCAACTGGGAGAGGTAAATTTTCTTCATTAAAAAGTTCGCTCGGGACTGTGTTCCTGATGAATCCTGCCTTCCGAAAACAATTTGCTATTGTTTTTTTGCTGACTTTGGACCATGCATTTAAACACATTCTTGAAGCATCGAGGAGAGTAATGGGAAGCTTTTGGGAAGATTCAGTAAGGAGGTGTTGAACGACTAGACATCTGTAAAAATGCTTCAGATTTTTAATGATGCCGTGGTCCATTGGTTGCACCACTGATGTCATGTTTGGCGGGAAAAAAACAACCGTGATATTTTCCATAGTGGGTATCGATTTATGAGCAGTGCAGTTATCAATAAACAGGATGATTTTTCTGTTTTTTCTTTGGTATGTGCGATTTAGATCAAGTAGCCATTCTTCAAAAATATGCGCCTTCATCCATGCTTTTGTGTTAGAAAGGTATTCTATAGGCTTTGATTTGACATTTTTGAAACACCTTGGACTTCGAGATTTTCCTATCATTAGTAATGGTAATTTCTCTGTGCCATCCATGTTTGATCCTACAAGTAAGGTGATTCTATCTTTACTATGCTTTCCACCACTACATTTTTCACCTTTAAAAGTAAGAGTCTTTGCAGGTATACATTTGAAAAAAAGTCCTGTCTCATCGACATTAAAAATGTCTCTGTCCTGTGTATACTCAATTATTTCGGCAACTTTTTTTTTCCACTCATTTGCTGCACCTTGGTTCACACTTTCCGGACCAACCATCCGGAGCTTGCCTTGAAGCTGCTGTTACCTAAACTGATGGCAAATTCTTCAGCTTTTGCACGTACAAGAGTTCCACTGAGAGGGATGTTCTTGTCCCGTGCTTGTTTAAACCACTTTGCAACACACTCGTCCACGTCAGGATAATCAGGCTCTCTAGCACGCTTGCGATTTCCATTAGATTTCAAAATTCTTTCTTTATTTTTTAAAAAAGTCGAAAGAGTGTTAGGCGCTATTCCAAACTCTTTTGCGATGATGCATTTTTTTTAACACCCTTTTCTACTTCTCGAATTACAGCAATTTTTTCATCGAAAGATAAGGTTTTATACGGCACACGGGGCTTACTAAATGACATGCTGGTACTGAACTATCACTACAAAACTAAAATCACAATGTAGAAAACTCAAGTAATGTCGACTACAGTCCTAGTGTTTAATCCCGTGATTATACACCAGTTTCTCGGAGTCGGATGCAAGGTGATCTCATGAAAAAAATAAACGCACCACTATTGGAGGAACACCTGTCAATCAACTGCAATATGACCTTTGAAGGACGACTCACGTAGACATAACTTTTTTCAAGATCATGAAGACTCGCCTAGCCGGTGACAATTTTTTTCTCCTCCGCTCCGACCAATGACATGTATGCATCCTATCACGTGATTCGAAATACCCTTCCCGTCGTCCTTTCTCCCTCCCCCTTGTCATCCCTAAAACAATTTCCATAATAGCTGAAAATAACCAGAATACTTTTCAAAAATAACTGCATTTAAACTAGATTTTGTCATTTTTGAAAGGGTAAAAACTTCGAATTAAAGAAGTTGGATTTCGAAATAACCAAATTATAACCAAATAATTCGAAGGAGACTAGACTATTGGGAGACTTTTCTGTACTTCTGGCAATGTTTTTTAGCATAAATTGGGTTGCACAACCTGCGGCCCGTGGATCTTCTGAATAAAATAAAACAAATTCGTATGCTATCATTTATTATACTATCAACTATTTTCATGCTACTAAATGCAACTATTTTTTTCATTTTTTTGCTGTGTTTACCCTGTGTTCCAGTTTAACAAAAAGTAAATATTTTATTATTTCAATGTGAATAAAACTGATTTAGTGCAATTTTTAAGTAGTTTTATTATATTGAAAAATAATTTTAAAGAAATTAATTACTTATTTTAAAGAAACAAGTTTTTGAAAGTAATATGAAGTAGTAGGACTAAAATAATTACTTAGCTATGCTTAAATAGAACTTTATAGAATAAAAATAGTATATATACCTTTTAACTGGGGGTTTCATCGGATTTATAGTAATAGTAGTGCAAATTAGTAATGGAAAAAAACAAATAAAAATATTTTGTAACTTTAAAATAATTGAGCCGTGTCTAACATGCTTCTAGATCCAACCTACAATATTACTTCCTATTTTCTATTAGTATTTGTATCAACATCATTGCCTTAAGAATAAAGCTATTTATGTTGACATGTTAGCTAAAGTTGTCTACAGAGCACTGAAAACAGTAATACAAATATTACACAGACATTTTTTTTTTAAAAGGATATAAATATATATATTTGGAATTGATAGTTTTAAATTGCGTGTCATTTGTTGATAATTTGAAAAAAATATGGTTGAGTTACATTTTTCAAGATGTCGATTTACTGAATTGTTCAAATATTAAAATTGATAAAGGAGAAAGTATTTTTTTTAGTCTTTCCCCCCCCCCCCNCCCCCCCCCCCCCCAATTTTTTTTTCTTCTAAAAAATCTGTTATTATTTGTTTTCCAAGTTTTAGATGAAATAATTTCCTTGTGCCTACGAGTATCTCTGTATATTTTACACCAATTTTATATAAAATGAAATTAAATACATGTTACGAAATTAACTTTTAAATATGCTATTTTCTGTGTGCTGAGATAGGCATAATTATATTTGCCAGTCATAAATTCGGAGAAAGTGTAGACGTTATCTAAAAATATAGCCCATGTTATTTTTTTAAGTTGTCCAATTATCCAGATTTTTAATTTATGGGATTGGCCCCAGCAGTTCTAAGTTATTAACGCTCTGCATTATTTATTAAGATTATTTTACCTAACCTTTACAATAGAAAAGTTTTCTAAAAGAATCCATTCCAGAGGTTTAATATTTAAGAACCCTTCATAAAATTCTGGAAAAGGCCCCTTCCCAAAAATCAAATGTCGAAAAGTAAGTTTCACAAAATCAGTAATCTTTCACAAAAATCCAAACTTCTTAAACTAACTTTCACAAAATTTTAAACTCAGAAAAGGATCTTTTTTAAAAATTCTATTTATCTCAGGGTTGCAAAAAAAGCCAGGCTCGCTAGTTTTTATTTAAGAAAGCTGACCTTTATTGGCTTTTTTTAATATTTTACTATGCAAAATTAACATACATATATTTGAATTAATTTTATAATCCTAATATACAATCATGTCATTGTAGTAAATGCTTAACGATTGTTTATATATTATTACAGGTTTTGAAAAATATTAGTTTTGGTAAAAGCCAGCTTTTTTAGGTGGTTTAAAAAAAACTGACTGTTGTTAAAATCCAGTAACCTTAATTTATCTAATATGTATGATTAATAATACATTTTGTTTTTATATTTAACCCCTTCCTTCTCGTTCCTGTGAAAATGACGGGGTGAGTTTTCGCTCGCTATTTCTCGCTCCCGTGATATTGACGGGCATGAGTGTTCAGTAGTAATGCGCCAATAAAACTAATAATTAAGAATAAAACTAATTCATTTATTTTTCCCAGAAAAAAATTTGTTTCTCATATAGCAGTACCGGGATATTTTTAAGGTAATTGTAAATAGGAAGTTTATTTTAAACTAGATACTAGCACTAATCAAATACATGTATTTGGCAAAATAGACACTTTTATGACCGTTTTCTTGAAAATTAACCGATCGTTAAGAGGTTAAAAAGCAATTTTCATGTACATGAAAAGGTTAATTTCTGTGCAAATTAATGCAAAAATACATTTAAATTGCAACAAAATCTTATACTACAGTAATTATGTTTGAACAATATTCAATGGATAAATTAGTGCAAAATATTTTGTGTGCAGATTTGAAGATTATTAAAGGAAACATAACTAGCATGTATCTTAAGTTAACTTTATTATTTAATTTTTATTTATTTTAAAGGCTCTTGTTCATTTTTTTTTCCCAATTAACAAATAGTTAATAGTAAATTTCCATAAAATTATATTTTTCGTAAAAAGAGAATCTTAGTTTTTGATAGAAATAATTGTAGAAATTTCAAAAATAGGATTTTTAAAAATTTTGGTTTTCCTCTTGTGTTATTTATAAACAGGTATTACCAACCATTTTTTAATTTAATCATAGAACACTATTAGCACCATTTAACATGGCACGTATTTTAACTTTAAGAGTATTACGAATATAAATCATGTAAAACATTTTCAAAATATTACATTGATATTTATGTACTCTTGCAGATAATTATTTAAAATTATTGATTGTGTGATGTTAACTTTTATATGTCTATGTTTACTAGAATAATATGTTTTAAATTATGAAGTCGAAATTACCCAGACAGCTAATTGAATTTTACACTCAAAAGCAATTTGAACTGAACAAAGTTTGTCAATTCTGTGTAATCTATTTGAATCTTTTTTTTGAATCTTTTTATTATTCAAGTAATAACATATTTTTATGTAATCTATTTGAATCTTTTTTTTATTCAAATAGTGTTTAAAAATGTAAAATAGGTGTTTTTAGTTGGTATACAAACACATTAGATCATATTTATTCATTACGACAAAAGAGGCTTCAGATAACATTATTTTAAATAACTTTTCACGAAAAGAAAAAAGTTTCCTAAATTTATACTATCTTAATTGCAGCTCAACTTTGCCCAAATTCAGGTGTGAAGCGTATGGTTTCTGAGAGTGGTGATCTTATTCCATTGAAAAGAGAACGATTTACATTTAAAGCTGCTCACCTGGCAGTTTTAGAGCGTTACTATGAGAAAGATCCATACCCTGACTCTCAGACAAGAGAGCAAATTGTTGATGAATGTAATAAAGCTGTAGAAAGATCAGGTATTTAACAATTTAAAAAAAATTATTTTTGTTTAGTTTTATTGTGTGTTACGTGCAGGGTTGGGTTTTTGACGTCAAAAAGTGGTTTTTGACATGACAAGGGTATAATACTGGTTTAAACCGTCAAAAACCCGTCAAAAATGTCAAAAACTAAAGTTTGCCAAGAAAATATATAAACTTCAAAACTACCAACAGTTGCCATGCATTATATTGAAATTTAATTATACTATAGGTAATCAGCAGGTTTTAAAATATTTTTTAATTAAAATTAAGGTAAAATAACAGATTTAAAATCTCAGAAATTTATATTCAAATGCATGTGCAGAAAAATTTTGCACAAAAATTGTTTAAATATTTATATTTAAAAAAAAAATTTTTTTTTTTTTGATACTTAAGAAAATTAAAAGTTTATTACTATGCATTTTTGACATATAAGGAACATATAACTAATATTTATAAGGAACTTACAAGTTATGTTGTATAAATACAAACTTGATACAAGTGTATAAAAAAAATTTTTTAATGTTATACCGAATATCTTTATTATCCAGTATGTTAATTTGAATTTAAAAGTAGTTATATTTGTGAATAATGATAAATATAATTCATATTGTTTATTATATTTATTTATAATTATTACACTTATCATTTTAAAACAATTTTTACCTCTTAATTTTTTCCCCCACTTGTATTAAGAATACAAATAATGCATATCTTGAAAGCAAGAAGTAATTATTCAACAGCTGAATATTTAGATATTCAACAAAACTATGTATATAGTATTCAGCAAAATGAAATTCACAAGTATTTGGATAAACTAAATTTTCAGCATAGTAAATGAATAGGCTGAATATACTGTAAATCGACACTAACTACTCTGTGTATTTAACAGAAAGCACTTAAATTTGTATTGTCTTATGTTAAAAAGATTATTAAGAAGATTTAAAAGAATATTAAAAAGATTTTTCTTTAAAAGATGTCTAATGTACAAAACTGCTAATGTTTATCTTTAAAAATGTCTAATTTTTAGTATAATCTATACTATACACTAAATTTGGTTATAAATAAATTTCTTAATAATATCACTGCAGATTTTCAATAACACATGAAAATGAATACATAATATTACAAAAGATGTGAGCTTTCAAAAGTACAAGATTTTGGTTACTATTCAAAATATAAGTGTTTCTTCAAAATTTTAAATTTATTTTTTCTAGAACATATTTAGAAACACTATCCTTTATAAAAAATATATAAATTTTATGTATTAATTAAATTTCACATATGAATATAGGTTTTTGACATTTTCGACATTTTTGACAGTGAGGTTTTTGACGTGACGGTTTAAACCATGGTTTAAACTGTCAAAAACTGTCACATGTCAAAAACCTGCCAACCCTGGTTACGTGTAAATAACTGTTAAAAATTTCAATTGAATAGTTGTTGTAGTAAAAAGATCGAGTGTTTAGTAGACAGTAAAAAAATGATTATTTGAAATTATCATGCATACTAGCTAATACTATGCATGCTAATTATGTAGATATTTTTAAAGCAGTAAACATTAAGCTCTAAATGTAAAAGGAAAGAAGAAGAGTATTTTCCTAACTTTTATTTATTAATTTGTGTTTTAAAAGCATAAAAGAATTTTTAACAATAATTTATTATACAGCAGTATTCCAATTATCTAGAGGACGAATAAATCTGGAGGACGAACATCCTTTGGGATACCTCTGCTTGCAGCAAACCTAACCTTTAAGCATTGTTTATACTACAATAGAGGAGGCAACTAAACAGTGCAGATTCTATTGATAAGAATGACATTAATTAAGAATTTAATCACAAAACTAATGAAAATCCATTTATATCTTATATGTATATAAATGAATGCCTATCTGTGGATGTAGGTGTGTCCCTTATGGATTTTTAAACCATCTAACTGAAAGTTTTGAAATTTGGCATATAGATAGCTTAAGGAAGGTCACTGTCGACATTAGAACATTCTACAATGAATGTTCAAACGGGATGATCGAAAAATGAAATGGAATTTTCTGATTGGCTAAACGTTGTCGATCTATATATATATTTCTCTTACACGGCAACAAAAAAAAGCCTCATTACAACTCCCCGAATGGCAACGCTAGAAAATCGGCCAATGATTGCCGCTAAAAATGTCACGTGCCAAATCTAGCTGAGATGGCTCAACATATAGCGCCTTTAAAAACGGAAACTGAAATAACCAGAGAGAGCATAAGCTAGGCAGAAGTGAGTAGTCTTTGTCGATAGATCTCTATTTTAGTATTTTGTCGAAAGCGCTTTTTTTTTCACGAATTTATATATTTCGAATTTATTTGACGATTTTTGATTTATATCACGAATTTATTTGTTTTACTAGAATTTATTTGTTTATGCATGTTTTTCCATTGCAATTCACTTACTTCAATTTTTAATAGACTTAATTAGAGCCAGAATTTTAACCTTTTTAAAGAGATATCAGTTTTAGAAATTTTAAAGATTTTATACTATAGCACATTTCTAATAGGTTTAACGAATTGCATGCCATTTATTTGAATTCAAATTTGTTTTAATGACTTAGTATTTACTAAAAAGATGTAATTTTTTTAAAAAGAAAACTTGTTATATGGATTTGAATGATTGTTTTGAATTCTTAGAATTTTGTGCATTTGCAATGTACCTAAGTTAATAGCGAACGAAGCGAGCTTGGTTTGCGAAGCAAACCATATAAGATTGCGTAGCAATTTTCGGGGGTTGGCGAGCATTAGCAATAAGGGGGCGCAGCCCTCTAGTTGTTTTAAATTTTACTATAAACGATTTAGTGTTAAAATATTTTGAAGATAACATCTGTGATATTATTTACCTTATAGATCTATTTATTCAGAAAAGCTAATTACATGTCTATATATAAAAAAAGGAATGCCTGTCTGTATATGGATGTGTGTGTCATTTATAAACTTCTAAACCATCCAACTGAAGTTAATGAAACTTCACATACAGATAGTTTAAAGCACGAGGAAGGTCGCGTCAACATCAGAACATTCTATGGCGATCCGTTCAAGCAGGATAAGTGAAAAACAAAATGAAATTTTCTGAATGGTTAAGCTTTAGCCATTGTTTTATATTTAACTATAGACAGTTCAATTTTTCACATATTTTAAAGATAACATCAGTGATAATTTATAGCTTATAGCTCTGTTTGATCAAAAAAAGATATTATTGCACATATTTAAATATTTGATTTTATATTCGCTATATCAGATAAATTCAATGATTATGTGGTAGCATGCATGGTCTATGTCAAATGTATGCTTTTAAAGTTCCTCTGATATCACATGCTTTTTTTAAAATCGTTTTTCCAAAAAGTTATTTAAAATCAAGGGTTGAATAGAAAAAAATATTTAGGCATTTAAGGGCAAAATTAATGGGAATGTGATACTTATTCGTTTAGGAAAAACGTAAAAAGATCGCCATATTATTATTGATGCCAATGATGCTTAATTAATTTAGGTAATATATGCATATTGAAATAAACTATGTACTAGAAAGCAAAAGTAATGGAGTAAAGATATTTATTTGTTTAGAAGTACCGTAAGAAATCATATTAATGTATTGATTGAAAGAAGAAAATAAACTTATGTACTAAAAAGCAAAAATAATAGAGAAAAGATACTTATTCGTTTTGGGGAGCCGTATGCAATTGCCATATTATTATGCATTAATTGAAATAAAATAAAATAAACTATGTGCTGAAAAGCTAAGTTAAAGGAGAAAAGGCTAATAGGAAATTTGTTAAGGCTTAACTATTGTTGACGCTTAATTATTGTGTACTATTGACAGCAATATGGATTACTGATATTATGGTAATTGGTGCACTTTTAAAAGGAATTCTATAATGTGTTTTCAGTAGTTTTAGAAATATTTTTTCCAGTTTTAGCAAATATAAGTGAATTAATATTTTAATGAATTAGAATTAAAAGAACTTTGTTCCTCCACTACTTAATTATATTTGAACAGTAAATTTAAGATAGATGGAAAAATGGCCATGATCCAAAATCCTTATCAAGTTCTAATAATAATTCTAATTTTTGAAATTTCGGCTTTAGAGAACTGTTACTAATAAATGTATTTCGCACAAAACAGAAATGTTGAAGGGTTATGTAATAAGTACCCAACATACTAACATAGGTATAAAATATTATATAGATATATTTG